CTAGTTAATGTTGGGATAGAATCGTAGGCACAAAGTAAAAATATTCTCTGAATAAAAAGGGTAATATATAGTGGCAAGTGTTAAAAATAACCTAAAATTTGATTTTAAATGCAAAATTACACCCCTTATCTCATGTTTGGCAAAACTAACCCAATGGATAATGAAATTACAATTACAATCCTAATGACCAAAGAAAAAAATGGCAGCCATAATTACTGTTTTAACCTTCGAGAAATCTACAACGCATGAAAGAAGTCTACTAGTAGAGTAGACTTCTTAGACTTCTCTTACTAATTACATATGAAATTTAAATTTATAAATTAACAAAAATTAGTTCGATTAAAATTTTTTATTCATGACCATACTATAAACAATTATGAAGTATAAAAAATAAAATTTCACAAATTAAACCAACAAAGACAAATTAGGTTATAAATGAATTACATATTAGTAGACTTCATTTGAAGTCTACGTTACACTTTTGTAGACTTACATAGAAGTCTACATATTAATTAAATATGAAATTTAAATTTATAAATTAACAAAAATTACTTTGATTAAGAATTTGTATTCATGAGCAAACTATAAACAATTATGAAGTATAAAAAATAAAATTTCACAAATTAAACCAACAAAGACAAATTAGGTTATAAATGGATTACATATTAGTAATGAAATGAAGACTAAACATATACATGAGATAACAAATAATCTTCTCCCTAACTATATGTTTAGATATTGATGTAGTCACAACCGGTAGTTATTATTGTTTGATATTTATAATTTTAATAAGTTTATGGTTGTAATAGCTTAGTTTTATGGACTCATATTTATGGTTTAGGGTTTAGACAACTTTGTAGAGATTATAATGTAGGGTTTGATTTCTAAAGTTGAGTTAGCTATAAGGTGATGTTAAATTTGGAGTTCTTTATGTTATTTTGTGTATGCCATCGAGTTACGAGTCTGGAATATGGATAATGGTTTGATATCATAAGTTGGAAACATATTTTTACATTTAGGGTTAGGTTTAGGGTTTA